TCAAGGACCCAAACTTGCTTGCGATTGTCGTTTACTCCCACCATTCAAATCTGTGCAAGATGGGAATCTTCCAAACAATGGGAGAACGAAAAAGAAATGTGAAAGAACAATATAAAAAACTTGAAAATCGAAAAGAAAACGCTAATATACATGAAGCTCAGAACTAAAAGCCAAGGTGGCACTTTGGTCCAGAACTTGGAGGGGAAAGGTATGTAATGAAATCTCCACAAGAGCTCTCCCTCTTTTTTGATGTTAATTGGACTCTAGAAATGAGGAGACAGATTGTGATCTCATTATGATGGTCTTAATGGTTATTGTATCATTTTTCTTGAAAAATCAGGAAGCTTGTCTAATTGTTTCTCCTCCATATTTAAAACCAACCCATGGATGGAGTTTATCACAGTGATGTTTCAGCTCTTTGCAGGAAGATGATACATACTCCAAATAGTCAGCCAAGGAGTTCTTTCTCTAAAATTGTTGTTTGACCCTACTAAATGGGTGGAGAAACCAAATACTTTCCTATGATGAAAGTTGAATGCTACTTTAAACTGGTTTGGACTATTGCATGTGGAAGGTTTTCTAGAGTGTTATTAAAGTCCTTTAGAACATTTTCATTTTATTCAAGAGTCACCTAAGTATAAGAAAAGGATGCTCTCTGTGGGTTAGTCAAATCCTGAGGATAAAGTATTTCAAACGATCAACTTGGAGTCAGAAGTAAACCATTTGGTAAATTTTTGTTCTAATACAATTAAGTTTGTTTCTAGAGCTTAAGGGCCTAGTCTAAGGTCTTCAACCCTACCTTTTTAATAGAGGTTTTTATGAGTATAAATGGAAGAGAGAGAAACTAATTCTTCTACTACTGCCTGATTTCATTTTTTATATTTAAGCCTTTGACTAACTTGAGAATTTATTTAGCTCTTAAGAAATGTTAGCTTTTAATTTCTTTAACGTTATACAATTTACAATGATCTTCCAAAGTTAATTTGGAAATTACTTTTGCAACTCAGAATTCTTACCTAGTAAATAAAAATCAGTTTCTTCTATAATGGAGCAATTTTGCTGTATGCTCATGAGCAAAACATAGTGTAACAAACAGAATAATTACAATATTAATAAATACCAAATGATGGGTGGCGCCTGTGGCTCAGTGAGTAGGGCACTGGCCCCATATACTGGGGATGGTGGGTTCAAACTCAACCCTGGCCAAACTGCAACAAAAAATAGCTGGCTATTGCAGCGGGCACCTGTGGTCCTAGCTACTCGGGAGGCTGAGGCCAGAGAATC